GTAGATTCCCTCCGCTGAGATTCCACGCTTCCTGCAATCTTAAATACAAAACTGATACAGATTAACTTAATTATCAGGCTAATCGCATCATCAATATTTTAAACGGGACCTTATTTCCTTTGAGGGATACATCGTTCATTTTGTACAAGCATGTAATCAAAGTTTCCAGCAAAATAAAGAATGATTCATAAGATCGTAGATTAGTAAAAAGAAAATGATAATTCGGTGCATCTGGCTGATCAGATAATGATTACCACGGTCCGCTTCCATAAATACCTAAGCTGTATAATCGGTATGAACCCAGACCCCCAATAATCTCCGCTCATTATAATCGATTCGCCTGATAATGCGATAACGATAAGACCTTGAGGTCTCGTTAACGCGAAGACTCCAAGGATCCTTTATCCAAGTTAATAGTACAGCGTTCGCGTTTGGAAATATCGCCGTCCGGCAGATAAAACAAGCTCTTTATCAAATTCTCCAATTTTCGTGGTTTTATTTCACAATTGCCAACAGTAGATGACAATCTTAATTACATGAAACATGAAATGTTAATATGAAAATGTATATTAATATTCTCGTCCCGGTTGAGAAATTCACGATTGTGATTAATCAGAAGTATTTCAGTCGAGGGTAGGTAACAGATCCGTATAGAATTCGAGATACTTACAAACATTCGAAACGATGTTCAGTGAATCTGATGAATCATCTGTCGCACCGAGATTTTCCATTAAACCGTAGCCGGTTCCGGTTTTAAATATACTTAATCGCTGGTGTCGACAGCCGTTTCAAACGAGAAACTGCAGATCGGCAGGCGTTTCGATGGTTGGAAAATATTCGCCTCTTCCACTGGAGATTCCTTTATGCTGTAAAACCCGGCCACGTTTACAACGATATTTATTAACCGACGCGTAGCAATTGACGTTAAACGGCGACACGATTACCGGAGACAATGAGTTGAACGAGCTACCCCGGACAAATCCTTTTTCTGTGCTCGACAATGGAGATAATACTGCGAATTTCTGGAGCAAATCCTCCGGCCTCTCTCTCTCTTCTTTGAACATTTTTCAGCCTGCCGCACAAGTTTCTTGCTTAAAAAGCCTCGGCAACGATTGTTCTTTATTAAATGTGTATACAGGAACCTTTGCCGGCGGACAATGGACAACGTCACGGATTGTTTTCAGCGTCGTTTTGAATTCAGAAGAGGGACGCTACCCGGAAAGGGATGAAATACAGGGGAAGCAGAATTTTTCTTTCATTACAATACCCCTCGGTGACGTAGATCAGGAGTATCTGTTTCGGACCGGCGACATTTATGTTAGAACATCAATTTGCCATAATCAACTTGAACGATAACAGCAGAAGTCCTCCGAACCCGTTGAATTCGCTTATCAATGACAGCGAACTTCGTTGAAAATAGTGTCCGCCTGTCCACTTGGCAATCAAGCGAGAACAAACAAACGCGAAACCAGCGCGTGACAACAACAACAACAACGACGACGACGCAACAGTGGCAACCGGTTCCTCTGAAGAGAACTCGAGGCTCCGGTCCACATGGTAATCGACGCGAGTGGATGTTCCGCTAAGTAATGCAAAGTGTCCGTGAATAATGCATGCGGCCGGGCTGCATTCAGGGACACGGGTGTAAGTAACGCATTACAACCAGCGTTAGGAGCACGCGGTCAGACATTAAACCGACCGTGGAAAACGCAGCAGCAAACCGCCCCCCCATCGGCGAAACTGGGTCGCGAGAAGTTTTTCGCGCCAGCTCTGGTAAATAGGCTCGGGCTCTGAAATAAGACGATTGTCGCTTCCGAGAGCTTATTCTGCAGGAAAATCGGTCACCCTCTCGCAGTTTTCAACCCATGACTAAATAGCCTTATCCCTTACCCGGTTTTCTTTCAACAATTTTCAATGCTTTCCTGGTTAACAAGTTTAATGTGAATAATATTAAATTACCACTAGTCTCGTCAACGTTGGTTCGTCTGATAATTTCTCGGTTGATATGAAAACAGCAAATCGTTCGACAAATGATTGAGTCCGTAGCAGATATGGAATATATGATTTACACGTGATATGGAAAAGTGCGATTGGATCGATTATATTATCGGGGAATCGATCGACCGCGGAGGCAAACAGGCGTCTAAGCCTGGGGAAAACTCTTTGGTAAAGAAGCCCGTGACTCTTGGCAGACGGGAGAAAATAATTAGTTTCCTTCGTGGGAGGCGAGGCACGGCATCGGATGGGCAGGAAGTTCGCCTCGACGGAGGTCTTTTCAAACCTGTTCGGCGTCGAACGAATCGCGCGCACGTCCTCCCCCGGGAACTTTTCAGACGCTCACTTTGTACACTCAATACCGTTTCGAAATCCCACGGCGATACTCGGTTCGCTCATTCAATTATCACTAAACCCTGGAACGGCGCTCCCCTCGCCTATTCTTCGAGGGAGGCGAAACGCAACGCGTGAAACCCACCCTCTTTATTCTTCTTGACGATATTGCTGGACTTCCGGCTCAGTGTTCTAGAAAATGTAAAACAGTCAGTTCTCCGGTGGCGAAATCACGTTCAATTCTGTTGTACCTGCGGACGGGGCGAGGAGGGAGACGGAATAATAAGAAAGAGAAAAAGGTGGAGCGATGGGTTGCGAGAGTGGAGGAAGGGAGGCATGCGAATTGCTTCATCCGAGTCGCATCTCGCGGAGACCAATTCGCGACGCAACTTCCATCTGGGATTTCCGCCCTTCTATCTTTTCCGAATTGGGTTTTTTTTTTTATACAGCGTTTATCTCGATTTCCGTCGAAATAGAATGATTGAACTTCTTCAGTTTCTAATATATATTTCTAAGAGAATCGCGATGAAACGAACGAATGTATCTTTGGTGCACGTGTCCATAAAAAGAAGAAGTAAGAGAAATACAATAGGAACGTAGGAGAACAGTGGTGAAATTACAGGGAAGAAACTAACAATGATACAATACTGGAAGGCAGGGGAGAAATTAGGGGTGGAAAAAGAAGCGACGACGCTTAAGTGGCGACAGCGGATACGGTGCAGTGGAAAACACGGCCACCGTTAATGCTGTTATCGCGGTGGACAGCGAAGGAAAATATGGCTGCTATTATTTGGCGAATACCTTTGCCTCGCCGCGCAACTCCTCGCTGACCGCCGTGCTCGCCTTTCTTTTGCTCTTTCAAATTGCCTGTCTTAAGAGCGCGCAGATTAGGGCAAATCGAGAAAAACCCTTTAGTTTTCCTCGCAGCTTCCTTTGCGGATTCTACGTTTTTTTTTGTGCGCTGCATACGCTGTTTGTTATACTGTTGGCTCGCTGTTATCAATAGCTCGGCCAGGAATTAGGGCTGTAACGCGATAAATTTTCACGGACCAGAGGCGACGACTGAAAAACCGTAGTGAATTCGCGTCTTACCAAGCGACCGTAAATTCAGTAATTGAACCCAGATAACAATTATTAGAATGAAGGGACCATAATTTTGGTTCGTAACGTTTACGAACTTTTTTCAAGAAACGTTAAATCGTTCGGATGATACTAAATGATAATTCGCGAGTTTTATAAAAGAAGAGCTACTGGCGTGCATCAACGTCGACGGTTGTTGGTCGAAAACATATTTTCCCAAAGTCGATAACTTGGGTAGAAACCGTCGCTCAACAATGCGCGATGCCGGCGAACCGATCGAAAGCACGTTGCATCAAGCCAAATGAAGTGGCAAATAACTGTTACATCGGAGTTTCCTGGTCAGTGCGTCTGTGTTTCCTCTCCTTCTTTCTTCTTCCTCGATTTTACAGTTCTGTTCTATCGCCCTGCGCGGAAACTCGCCTAATTTCTGCCAACTGGTCTCTTCGTCGGACCTCTTCCGTGTCTTTCAATTATTAGAAAGAAAAATCTCAAGTTGAAAATAGATAAACTCAAGTAATCGGTGAAACGTATTATCACAGAGGAGAAATTACTAACGAATAGCAGCCTTATGGGACTTTGTGTCCCTCTTCAGTACCCATAAAATGCCATTAATCGTACTTAACTCGTTAAATACTTGAATTAGAAGAAAAATACATAGAACCTTTCTTGTACCTATTGATTAATATAATTTAAGATGCAGAAATGTTGAACTAAATTGTACTTCATCGCTTGATGCCGTTTCCAAAGTCCAATCTTTCCAAGTGGTAGTTCTGCGCTTGGTACCATTTCCAAAGTCCAACCCAGGTCTCATGAACTCGGCTGGAACACTGATTTTAAGTAGCTTTCCTCGAATTCGTATCCTTAGAATTGGTAATTTGGCCAAGGGTTGTGAAATAAAAATATCAAAATTTGTTTCCATTAATTTATTAATAAAAATTTAGCTATTGTTATAATACATTATATATATTGCACTTGAATACTATTATATTAGAAATACATTGATTAATAGGCCTATTGATATACATATTTACTATTAGTCTGTGATATTATTTAGAATCATTATACGGATAAACTATATTAAACTTGAAGAACTGCTATAAGTCATTGAAATACATTAATTTTGCTCGAGTGAAAATTGAAAAAGTACAGAAAATGGAATATCGATGGAATAAGTTTCTGTGACGAATTAATGAATGAGAAGGCGGCTTTTGAGACGCGATTTCTCGAGCGAAGCTTACGATCTTCGTTCCCCCGTTGAAAAAAATGAAACGGAGTGAAACTAATTTTCGTCCGTTCAAAGGAGGCAGCCGTTTATATTTAGCAGGTCGTTTATCCCTGTAGCGTTTCTGGAACGGTGGTATTAATAATGGAAAATAAAAGACATCGTTCGTTTGCCCTTTTGCGAGAATATCGATCACCCAGAAAAAATTATGTTTATAGCTCACCCGCTTGCTTATGCCTTCGTACTTAAATATAGCTTTTAGAAATTTAATCCACGATTTATAATAATCAAATTGTAAACGTAAATCAATGGAATCGCCGCAAGTGAAATGACCATTTTTCTAAATTTCTCGTTATATTTTTTGTTACAGCACCCCCGCAAAAAGTAGAGATCAGCAATCATCCGAAGAAGGAGAAAATCGAGGTGAAAGTGGGCGAGTCGCGTCAATTGGAATGTGTGGTTCGATCGGCGAAACCGGCCGCGTCGATCGTCTGGTACCGCGGGAACGTGCAGATCAAAGGGGGCGACACGGAGATCACGCCGATCTCCATCGAGGGTGGTAAGTAAATTCATCGTTGAACGTTATACGATATCGACTTCTCGCGCCAACTTCTTATCTTTAATAAAAGAATTATTGACGAGCGAAGAAGTTCTTATCTGGAAAATGAGAATTTATATCGAGCTTCCATAGATTAAAAAACTTGTATAAAAGGACATATTTAGGACTCCTGATTTAGTTTAGATTAGTAATCGTTCATGAATTAGAACATCCCTCAATTATAATAGTTCCCAGCGCACTTTATTTTATCAAACGTATTACTTTCGAATTCCATTTGGAAGATTGCTTCGATAGAAAAGATTTCTAAACTGCCGAAAGCTCATAAACCGATATAGAAATATATATTAAGACAGGAGCAAAAGAATCGGCAAGATGGATTGAGGAGAAATAATTGACAGAGCTCTGACAGAGTCGATGAATGAGTTTCCTCGGCCGAAATTAAGCCCAACCCTTGCGCTCAATCTCCTCGAGCTATGATTAATCTTTCGCCGGTCCAGCCAACCGAATTCACTTTATCATCTCCAAGTTTACTACAATTAAGTACAAGACGATCCTTCTCAATAAATAACGAAAGCATTAGATTGTTTTAAATAATAATACTCATCGATTCGGTATCTTTGCTGAAACGAGGAGAAATTCGGTGGACGTTGATCCTCTTTGAGCACAGTCGATCGATGTCACAAAAGCGACGCTTCAAGTGGATTCCAAGCGCCGATTCGTCGACTGCCTTAATTCGCTTTAATCCATTTTTACCGACAATTAAGAAGACGCGGATAGAAAGAGACTAGAGCGGCAACAATTCGAAGCGGAACCGGCGAGAAGAAAACAATAAGTGAAGAGGGAAAAGAGTAAGAAGTTCGTTGGCGGGCAGCAATTTTCAAACGAAAAGACGAAATCGTTGTATCGATCCTGCAGGAAGTCGTCGAATAAAAAGAAGGAGAAACAACGTGGACGATTACAAAAGATGAGTGCCGCGGGAGCAGAAGTAATAGGCGGGACACGGGGGAAAAGAGACTATAATGGTTCGACGAGCAAAGAGCTCGGACCTGTATTATACCCGTTTCCTTCGACCGCGACGATTCTATATAATCATTAATGAATATGAAACAGACACCGAGCAGCTCGTTATCTTTATTTAAATCCCGCGCGAGCACACCCTTGTCGTGATTTAATCAACCCGAAAGGTCTGTTTAGAGCCGAAGGGAAAGGTCGAATGAAAACTGACAATGAGAATGGAATATTGAAAATACTTGTAATCGTAATGCGTGATGATTTTATTCGTCGCATACATGGATAGTAAATTTAAGCAGAGCTGATCCACGTCGATATACATTTAGCATTTGTTGAAATGTACAAGTTTTCTGTAAGCTTGGCAAAACTTGAAAACATCGTCGTATAACGAAATTCATAGGGAAATGCATTGTGAAAAGAGAAAGGGGAAATTGGCGAGGCTTTTGTCCACACGCTCAAGTGGAAGTGACCGTGTTTTGTGCATTTCTCGCAACAAATGCGAGCAGGTGGAATCCTCGCGAGCGTAACAAAAGGCCTGAACGAAATTCAGGTCGCGAACCGCGTGTACGCGACTTTGAAAGCACCGCTTAAAGCTTGCCTTCGACTTTCCTCGGACATTTTTTTCCTTCGTCAAAGTGGCCACTCGCTTTGCCAGGTGGATTTCGTCAAAGAACGGGAAGCCTGTATCCTGCGGCCCAAAAGATCCGTGTCATCGTACCTTTGCGCGCACATACGAGCAAACTGTGTCTTCGCCCGGACCCGCAAAAGGTTCGTCCTCGTAGTCACTTTTAGCAATGTTGGAAAACTTTCGTGACTTCTTCTCCCGTCTTTTCCTTCCGAGATCGCCTTTCGCGTGAATTCGCCGGAAAACTCGCGGAAATTCTGTAGAGCTTCTTCGAGCGAAACCAATTTTTTACATTTTATTCGAAAGAATTTAAATATTTCTCTGGTAGATAAACGCGCGTTCGGGAATAAATAGAAAAGAAGTCGTTTGTCGAATAAAAAAGTTATTTATTGCATATATTGCAAATACAGTTATCGATGTATGGACTATTGCATAAAATTGTTAGCTTCAAAGATAAAAATCTATGCTGTGAGCAGGGCAAGGAAGGCACTCCGGGGTTTCTTCGTCTGAAGGATTCTTCTTGAGGGACTGTGATATAGTGGTGATACGAGGAGCTTAATGAGTGCTTTTTTAGCGGGTGCCCTAAATTTCTCACCGGTGCCCTTAATTTGGAAAACTAGTTCGCGACCTGAAACTCAATTTGAATACCGCGGCGAGCTTTCGTACGATAAAAAATAGAAAATAATCTGAGATTCCCGATATTTTAATTAGATAAAGAAAACAAATCGTGTCTTAATTGCAATCGGAATCTAGTTCAATTTCGATGAAAAATAAAATTCATCTCGCTGTGAAAATATATGAATGCCATAAACGTGCGCTTAAAGTTAAGGAGGGGTGCTTTGATTTGTAAAAGATGAGATCGCTGGGTGAGTCCAGACAGCTCATAGATCGTGAACGAGCGTTACCGTGAGAAGAGGTATCAGCAGTTAGATTTGCGTCCTTCGGCGGTTCGAATCATTTTTCCGGTTCAGACGGATTCATATTTAAACGGGGCCTCGCTATTCTTCTTCCTAGTGTTTTTTGAAAGCACACTGGAGGATAACTTAATAGAGTGTCTTAGTTGCTCCATTATATCCTTTCCGACAATGCACTTCCGTTCACTCTCTCTCTCTCTCTCTCTTTATCTAACCATCTCTCTCCTCCCCGTCCCATATTCCCGTTCTTTTCGTGCTGCTCCAACATAGTTAACGTTTCATGATCCCCAGGGTCGTAACTATGGTTTGCAGTACTTGTTCCAGCAGCTTGAAAGTTTTATCTACAGCCGTACAGGCTGCGTGAAGATTTTTCGTCCGTAATTCGCCTGGCTGCAACGATAAAGACCGTCCTCCGTCTCTTTTTCCAGTTCTCTCTTTCTCTTTTAAACTTTCTCGCTCGCGCACTATCGTCCGCACCAGCGACATTAATTGCGATTGCTTCTTCCGGCCCCTCATCTCGCCTCGTTTAACGTCGTTCCCTCCTCGACGAATCGATCCCGCGAACGGGAAAAAGAAGGGAGGAACTCCTGTTTCCTCTTTGATCGCTTTAATCAGTAATAAGGTTGTACAGAAAGAGAAACGAGGCTCGAAGAAAATGCACGTTCCAAATTATTTATTAACCCGGGACCGTGCAATCTCGAAAGAGACTTATTAACATCAATATGAAACTTCCTGTTTTCAATTGAAATTAATTCAGACTAAGTCTGAGAAATGGAGGCGAGTGCTTGCTTGATCTGAAATTTAAGTTAGGCCCGTTTTGTAAATACTAATTTTTTTTTTAGCTATACGAGTCCACGAAGTTTTTTAATAATTTTCTGTACCGCGTTATCACGTTAAAATTACACGCAGATTAGGTTGCGATGAACTGTGATTGTATCGGCTTTACGTGACGAGAATTTTTTTTAGCGTCCCACGCGATGTAAAGAATATGTTTAACAAAGGGAGATCGTGCATGCAAAAGTGTGCAACGTATAGGGCGAGAAAAGGAACGAATGGAAGGAGGGAAACCAGAATCCGACGAATGCGTATAATCGCGAGATAACAAGATTTTTATATCTGGCATTACGACTCAGAGATCCGGCGGAGCTTAATTTATTTACTAGTGGAATTAAATAAAAAGTGACGCTGCCATTTATTGTACTTCCGCGGCCGGGAAAATTATATTTCGTTGGAAAATAATTTTTATACCGAGGGAAGAAAATTGGCTTGGCTGAAAATCCTGTCGCGGTCGGGGATTGGAATTTCTTGAAAAATTAAAAATCAACAGGAACGTGGAATTGTTCGGTGCGCGCTCTCTCCGCCGTGGAGCGAACAAAAAAAAAACCTGGCTCGTATTAACATTCGTCCTTAAGCTCTCTGAAACGATGTTTGAACGGCGAACTTTTGCGAAATAAAATTGCGACGTGAATCCTAAAGAAATGACGAGTCGACCAATCGAGGAAGAGTGGGTAAATGATAAATGCACGCTAATACATATTGCAGTCCTGCAATTCCCTTTCACGTGGAGGATTCGTCTTCCGGTTCCGGGAACGAAAGACGAGAATTCAACGGACGACGGTCCAATCGAATTTCACACTTGGAAGCAAAATTTCGGTGGTTTACGACTAGTTTACAACTATGTCTCGCGAGTTAGCGTACTTCTAACTGCGAGGGAGGCGCGTAGCTCGCACGCAAGTTTCTCGCTGTCGTTCGCACCGCTCCGCTCCGTCGAGAGTTGCGAAACTCATCGTTTTCTAAGTCAATACACGCTTTTCGTTGATTGCATCCCCGTTGTCCCTCGTCGCAGTTTCCTCGCGAATGCCCCGTTAGCTATCTTATCAACATTCATTGTTAAATCTAATAAAGCTGTAGCGGTGGTGTTGTTCAAAAGGAGAATTGAGTCTTGATATAAAAATGAAGCAATTTCGAGACATCCACGTTGAAGCGATCCAGTCAGTTCCCTTATTTATTCCGGAATTTAATAACAATGTCTATTTACTGAAAGGTATAATGTAGTTGTATAAGCTTTTCGTTTCGAAAATGGAATACTGATGACAGTAGGTTCCATGCGCGAAATAATGCCACGGATGGTGGCCATTGTCCGGTGAAACAGTTATATAATTAATGTCAAAAGCTCGGTTTACGACAATTAATACCGAAAATAGTCAATGGTAATTCTCGCATCAACCGAGGACACATATCAATTAGCCGTACAGAGATATCATTGAATTTAATTAATACCAGACAAATGATTCTCGGTAACAACGAAATTGTTAATAACAGGTCTAAGGTGATTGATGCGTGACATAATGTTCTCCATCTGATGATATCGCTGCTTTTCATGTATTGTTCTGCTCAGTGAATAGAATATCGCATCATTGTCCAGTAAACAGCCTGTTGTATTTGATGGATAGAAGAAGACTGAATTTAGATTCTATTTCGTACCAAACTCCGATAAGCTCATTAATTTGTACCGTGTTGTGGTACCGGAAAAATTGGTCGAACGGTGTACGAAGTGGAGTTGTATAACGTCGATAACAAAATTGGTTTTCGGGCACCGCATTCTCTTGCGCGGCGCTTAATAGCCGTCGCCGGTAAATGGCGGCGTCGCGGAAGTCCGTGACTTCTGAAAACGAACGGCCCGTTGTTGCTCTTCGTGGGGGGTTAAAAGCCTGTCTGGTCCTGTTTTACGATGATTTAACAGCTTCTCGAGAGAAGAGCGATCGAGGCCGCGAACAGAGTAAATACCGTTGAAACGATGTCACGAGCCCGTCGCGTCGAATACCTTTAAAAAAGGTACGCTATTATATTTGGCGAACGTTGTGCGTCGCCCGTTTGATGAAAACTTTGTTAGCCAAACTTCGCTCAACGTTAGTTAAAGATGTATTGTCTATACAGTCAATCCCATAAGTTTATGCACTTTTGAAACGCATTTTTTAAAAAGAAATCAGACGTCGGAAGAACATTGCTAATAATGAACAACAAAAAACAATTTTCGATTTTTCCGAGATTTTTCCAAGGGGTATCCCTTCAATTTCTTCCAAATTTTCGTTTTTGGTCAATAACTCCCAAAACGTTGGACACACGGAAAAATTGTATACGACCTTTCTTGTAGAGGACGACGAGATCTACAATTTCTGTATAAAAGTTTCTCGCTAGCATTAATAGTTTACGAG